TTTGTTTTGTTTTGTTTTTTTTTCTTTTATATATATATATATATATATATATATATATATATATATATATATATATATATATATATACACACACACACACACATTTTTCTATTTTTTATATATGAAACGTAACATCTATGATTTGATATATACGTGTGATCTGTTTAAAAAACGATTAATTATATGACTACTTATATGATCGAGGTTTCAAAAAACATTTTAGATAGATAGAAATATATTAGTTAAATTCATACAAAAATACTATCAAAAATATGTTATTTAATTAGAGGTTAAATTTTTATGGAACGATAAGGTGTCAAAAAAAATTAAGTCAAAATATAGGTTTACCAATGAAGATGCTTTAAGTAAACCATATATATATATATATATATATATATATATATTAATATATATAGGGAAGGGTTATTTGGAAAACAAAAAACCCTAAAAATCATAAAAATGCATAAAAAAATACTTAGAGATTACAAAACTTTTTTTTAATTTTTTTATACAAAAATTGCAGGTTTTTTAATAAATTCGCTGAAAAAAAAATTTTAAATTTTTTTTTTTCGAAAAAAAAATCAACGAATTTATTTAAAAACATGCGATTTTTTCATAAAAAAATTCAAAAAAAAGTTTTGTGATCTCTAAATATTTTTTTTTATACATTTTATGATTTTTAGGGTTTTTTGTTTCCATAAAACCTAAACCTCTATATATATATATATATATATATATATATATATATAGATATATATATATCTATATATTATATATATATATATATATATTATATATATATCATGACCAACTTTATGTTGGTGTGATATGGAAGAGCAGGGAGGTATAGGGGAAAAGGGAAGGAAAATGATATTATGATAGGGTTGACACAAATGGGACACAAAAATATCATTTCTTTTGTTAGGATTATGACAACTACTACTACTACTTTATAAAATAAGCTCCATCTTCTTTTGTAAAGTCAATAATCATACTCTCCACCCTTTCTAAACTTTAATTTTAGAAAACTATGTTCCATCGACATTTTAATAGCCAAATTTAGCATTTGTAAATGACTTCACACATAAATTTCTTAGCAAAACATAACCCACAACTAATCAATTAATTACAGGCTTTCAATATAACAGAAACTTACAAATCCAAGAAAAACTACCAAGAAAAAGGCTAAATTCAAGTCTCCATGCATTGAGGAAGAACAAGACATCTCTAAAAACTAGCATATCACCTTTGTAATCATCTACAAAACAAGGATTTTCTTAGTTCCCTTCATCCACATAGTAATCATAACCAAAAACCCTACTACATAAACCCTCTTCACCTTCCTCACAAGATCTTGGTTTTCACATTATGGGAAATGGTATAAGCAAACTCAATCTAAATTGTCATGTCAAAAATTCCATTGGAGAACAAAATCTCTATGAACTCGACAACTTTCATTCTCATAAACTCGATCATTATTGTTACAAAGTTTTAAAAGCAGCCACAGGGAAGTTTTGCAACAAGAATTTAGCAGGACAAGGAGGTTGTGGTGATGTTTATAAAGGGTGGATAGATTATCGCACAAAAGATTCTGCAAAACCAGGACATGGTTTAACTGTTGCTGTTAAAAGGATCAAGAAGGAAGGTGTTCAAGGCATAGATGAATGGAAGGTATGAATTTTTTTTAACCAGAAATGTATTTTTTTTATATAAATAAATCTCATTAAAATCTCTTCGCCACTAAATTTTCAGAATGAATTGAAGATTTTGAGCAGTTTTAAACATCCAAATGTAGTGAAACTGTTGGGATATTGTGCTGAAGGTATGCACAGGATGCTAGTGTTTGAGTTCATACCTAATGGAAGCTTGGAGGAGAATCTTTCAAGAGGTAAGCTCCCAAAACTCTAAGCGTGTGTTTATTGTTTGCTCCATAGGACATGACATAAAAAATTCTAATGTATTTGACATGTATTGGACTATAATTGGGAGTCATGTGTATGTAACAAAAATTTCAATTGGGTCCCACCTAAAACGGTGGGAGATGACTATATACCCTCTCAAAAGATGTGAATGTTCTCGTTATTCTCACCATTGAAAATAATCATAGAAAGGTTGTCTAGTATAATGCAGTCGAGTCGAAAATACAATAAGTTTAATTCACTCGACAACCATGTAACTAACACAGCCTAAAGTATGTTCTTTAAGTTTAGGCACAATATGAAGATTTGGTATTTCAAGAAGTTCGGAATACTCAAAGGCTCCGTTTGTCACACACCGTAGAATATGTACTACTCTTGGCATGATTGAGTTGTGACCGATGTCAATGAGACAAAAACTGCAATTCTCAGCCAAAAAGGTGGAAGAAGATGGACATTGATTTTACTGAGTAAAAGAAGTGAATGCCTCCTTATCCTGGTTATTGGCTATAGCCTTAGAAAGCTTGTTCATTATAGTCTAGTATAGCATAATCTGGTTTAGTCTAGTCCAATCAAGTTTCGTTTAGGGGTGTTCAAAAATATCCGATATCCGATATCCAATCCGAAATTATCCGAAATTTGGATGTCCGTATTTTCGGATTCGGATACGGATAATCATTTTATAAATTTTCGGATATTTCGGATATCCGAAATCCAAAATTATGCTTTTTGTTTTATTTTTAAATTTTTTTATTCAATAATGTAAACGGCCACCAAATATTAATCAAAATCCATTTATTTTTATTTATTAGTCATTTGATCTTATCGTTATTAAGTAAAAACTTAAGAATGTTGATTAAAATTGATTAACTTTTTTTATTATTATTTTGAAACGGCAAATATAGTCATTTTGTAAATTTTCAGATATTTCCGATTGATCAATTTTTTTTTGAAACGGCAAATATACTAAACTACATTTAATTATTTCACCTATATCCACTACGGGACTTGAACCCTCAACCTCAAGATGGGAGGGCAACACCGGATACGGCTGGAGCTAGAAGCCTTTTGGTTAAAATTGATTAACTACACTTCATTTATCTTCATTCGTGCATGAGAGCCATTTAATAAATGAACCAGAAAAAAACATATAGTTTTATTGGCATAGCGATATTTATCGAATAATTATTTACAATTTATTATATACTTTACAACTTTTGTCATGATTAACTACATTTTGATTGGATATAGGAGGCTAATTGCTGTCATTATTACATTATGTAAAAGGGAATATACATATCTTGCATAACGCATAATAGTTAACATTACGAAGCTGGAATCTCTATACTAATAAAAAAATAGTTTTAACATTCTTTTGACATGTGTCACTCTAATAAAACTTCTCATTAATATTATGTCACATGCTAAGAAGATATATATTAGGCAAATCACTATCATAATTAATGACGATAAGGTTTTTAAATAATAGAATGTAAACTTTTTATAAAAACATTTTTTTTAATTATATGTTAAATTTAAAGTTATAAATAACTTTAAAATTTTAGTATATCTCTTAATTAATAATTTATTTAAAATTATTGATTAATAAGTATGATTTTTACTATAAAAATTTATTTAGTTTAGTGACCGTGGTTTCCACGGGTTATAAACTAGTATAAAGATTAAGTAATCAATTCTTCCTCTCATATATAATGCCACAAACAGTCCCTTGGTTCTTATTTTTTTCTCTATTGTTTTGTTGTTTGACTTCTTTATGTATGAAAAGATTAAGATATATTTCCGTATGGCTTTTGGAAAAATGTTGTTTTGCACTTTAGGAAAATACTTAATTAGTGACAAAAAAAAAAACAAAAAAAAAGTGGATATCCAAATCACTATTCAAATCCAAATCCGAAATTTCGGATACAGATTCGGATATCAAAATCTACTATCCGAGATTTTTGGATATCCGGTTTTAAACACCCCTACCGTTCAGTCATGTCCAGTGTAACAAAACAGCCTAAATAGTGTCTTTAAATCTAGGCAAAATTTCAAGATTTGATGTTTGGGACAAGCAGAATGCAGTATGGAACTTAACTGGAGAAAAAGAATCAAAATAGCTAAAGGGTTAGCACGGGGTCTCGAGTATCTTCACACCATGGACAGACCCATCATCCATCGCGACATTAAATCCGCCAATATTCTTCTTGATAATGTCAGTTTCCAACTTTCTTTACATATCCCTCACAATCTCTTCTCATTCCAAATTGCTATTTTATAGGATTTCAATCCAAAGATTGCAGATTTTGGGCTCTCAAGGTTCGGGCCACAGGGTGACAAATCACATGTCTCAACCTTGGTTCTTGGAAGTAAAGGCTACTTTGCACCCGAGTACATTGGCACGGGTCATTTGACACTGAAAACGGATGTTTATAGCTTAGGGGTTGTACTTTTGGAGATCCTTTCAGGGTTAAAAGCGGTTAAAAGGTATCCAAATGGAAAGTTAACAGAACTTGCTCATTGGGCTAGACCATATCTTAATGATAGGAAAGAACTACATTGTGTGATTGATAAAAGGATTGTAAAGAATTTGGATGTTGAAGAAGTTAATGAGTTTGCTACCATTATTCAACAATGCCTTAGTGTAGATCCAAGAAAACGTCCAACAATGACGCAAGTTTTGCATAGTTTAGATCGGCTAGAACGAAATATGGATAGATGGAATCATAATTTCGGCAATGGAAATGTACTTACAAAACAATACCATAATATTTTGTAAAATTCATGAGAATATATAATGCTGCAAAGATTAGGAAGAGTTGGGTATGTTTCTTTTTTACTTAATGGTGACATTTGGTAAGCTATGGGTGTGTTTTTTGACTTAATGTGGAAAAAATGACTTAATAGAGCCATAGAAATGAGTCTTTCCTAATAAAGTCCCAATTTTTTACAAATTTGCCTCATTTACTTTTTCTTTCCATTACTCTAGTACCTCAAATGTTTTTTAAACATCAATTAACACTTTATCCATATGAGAAAAAAGGAATTTAATCATATCTTTGTAAACTCTACGATAATATACAACTCTTATGAAAATTAGACGTACTGTTTCTTTTTTGCTTAATCCACATAATGGATACAATACTTAATCTGGTAAACTATATACAGATGTTTCTATTTTACTTAATGCATAAACACCATTTATCCACACATCACTTAATCAAAACAAAAACAGAAAGAAAGAACACCTCAAGAAATACATACTATACACAATACATACAAACAACAAAGATTTAGTCTTTTCACATCATCTTACTTGTAAACTTTGGCGATGATGTGGCAGTGGAGATGCCAAGGGTGTCAAATTACGTGGACTTTGGCGATGATGTGGCACTTGTCTCATTGGTGATTTCCCAACCGGACTAGACACAACTTTATGATGATCTTTTGAAGCACCTTTTGAGGCTTGTAGCTCTTCTAAACTACTCAAAACTTGAGACATTCGAGGTCTTGTTTTAGGCTCTAAGTTAAGGCATTGTGAAGCAAGAGTTGCAGCAGTGTAAGCAGCTTTTTGAGGGTATTGTCCTTCCAATTTAGTGTCCATAATCCTAAATAACTTTCTTTTGTCCCCTAAATATGGTTTTGCCCATTCAACAAGATCTTGTTCTATACCAGTCTTTTGTTTATCAAGAGCACGTCTTCCAGATAATAGTTCTAATAAAACAACCCCAAAGCTGTATACATCACTTTTTGCCGTTAATCTTCCTGTTTATATAAAAAACAAAAAAAAAATGACTTTGATATCAATATCATAACAATGTCAAGAGCTTAAAGGATTGTTCCAAGTAAACTTCACAATCTTGATCTGTTTTCCTAAAGATAAAGTACATTATTGATTATGGTAAAAAGGGTAAATGAGTAATTTGAGAATACAGACCTGTGGCGATGTATTCTGGTGCTGCATACCCTTGAGTGCCCATGACTTGGGTTGAAACATGAGTCTTATCACCAGTTGGACCTGCTTTAGCCAAACCAAAATCGGATAGTTTTGCATTGAATTCCTGCATTATATTAGAAATTTGAGAGTCGTGAAAATCTTTAAAACTTGAAAAAAAGTTATGAAGATAATATATATATGCAGTTTAATGTTAATATACCGCATCAAGTAGGATATTAGAAGCCTTGAAATCACGATATATAACTTGTTCTTCAGCATCATGAAGAAAAGCAAGGCCTCTTGCAGCCCCTATTGCCACTTTGAGCCTTGTTGCCCATGGAAGTGGTTGAGGGCCTCCTGTAAATTTCAAAAAAGGTTAAATTAAACCTCAAACCACTGAGTGAAAATAGAATTGCAAAAGTTAATCAAAATGGTAAAACATACGTCTAAAAAGATGATTCTCCAAGCTTCCTTTAGGCATGAATTCATAAACCAAGAGCCTACTATCGCCCTCTGAGCAATACCCAACAAGTTTAACCAAATTTGGATGACGTAATTGCCCTAGATACTTCACTTCTGTCTGCAAAAATCAAATCATAAACTTTAAGAAAAGAAATCAAGAAGGCAAGAAGAAAAGCGCATAAAAACAGAAACATACAAGCCACTCCTTATGTCCTTGAAAACCCTCTGGTTTAAGCTTTTTGACAGCAATGATCATTCCAGATCCGGGTTTTGAAGCAGTAAGTGTGAATTCATCGATCCAGCCTTTGAAAACACAACCGAATCCTCCTTCACCAAGAACACTGTCTGGGCGGAAGTTTCTAGTGGCGTTCTTTAATTCGATGAATGAGAAGGGTTTTACACTTGGTGATAATAGAATTTCACCTTCGGATCTTGGGGTTTGAAGACTTGAGGCACTGCTCATCTCACTGTAAGATGAAATGGTCAGGCTTGAAGGACCAGAGTACGAACTTTTACTCACATTTTTTGAGGTTCCTGAGGATAAGGACGTCAAGTTAACCGTTGTTCATGTGGAAATGGCAAAAGGAACGCTATGATTTGCAGAAATGAGCAATTGTATTGATATGGATGGAAAAACAAGTGTTATTATATGTTCTTCAAAGCGAAAGAAAAAGGGGAGCTATTGGTTAAAAACTAGGCAACAGAAATCTTCAATTCATAAACGAAATCATAGGCTCGAGAAGATAAAAACCCAGTGAAAATATGAATTAATTTACTGGATCTCGAATTTTAGGAGAAAATTTGTTCGTAGTTTGAACTAATTATATCCCAAATTCCCAATTCAAAAATGATCTCAATCACTGCACTCGCGATGCTTTGTTATGGAGTAGCAATTATGCAAATTAAGAAACGATTCATGAAAAACAAGCAACGATCTATCAAATAGCGTATAATTCATTGATGAAATTACCCGAAGCATGGGAGCTGAGAGTGGTATCTACTTGAGCTGAAGAAGAATTCAAGCAATTACCCATTTGAACCGAGCAAAAATCAATTACCCAATTCCCCGGTTTACGAACTTAAATCGGGGGAGGATTCAAAAAGAAAGAAGGGTTTTGTTTCACGTTTGCTAATATGGCGGCTGGTAGGAAAGGAGGAAGAAGGATCCTTGTGTAAAAGATTGAAGATGACTCAAAGCGAATACGTTCATGTTGACTTGCAGTCCCCCATAACCCATCCACCACTCCTTGGACGCTTTGCTGTCTTATGAAATCGTCATTAATATCAACATATGGGCTGCACAGAGGCCAGAGAGAAGGTGTTCGCCACTTCGTTCCATGTCGCTTTCAGTTCAAACATGTCCTTCCAAGCAAAGATTTTTCTTTTTCTATGGAAAAGGACAAATGTAAAATATCAAAAATGTTTAACTTAGGCCCCTTGAAAAGTTTGAAACTTACATTTCACCCCTACTGTTGGTTGGATCATGACTATTTCATCCAAGTTTGGGCATATTAGACTATAGAGACGCGTTATTGGCGTGTTGCTATCATTGATTATTAATCGCTAATGTTGTTTGGATTCTTGTTTTTGGGTTTGTTGAGACCTTATGGTTTAGATTTATGTGATGTTAACGTATATTTTGTTTGTTGTCATTAAAACATGATACCCATTTTATTTGTAAAAAATATAAAAAGTTATGTTTGGACACATGTTTAAAGTTGTAACTTGCTTCCTTTCCAATGAGGGATGTTTGGACATATGTTTAAAGTTGTAACTTGCTTCCTTTTCAATGAGGGATGACCTTGCCTTGCACTTTTTTTTCTTTCGGAAACCAACACCATTAAGAAAATCTTTGAGGATATTAAGGGTGGCTTTAGTTGCGGAAAAATGGGTCGTTTCCCAGAAAATTTTTCCAAGAAAAATGAGAATATTGAAAAACGCGTTTAGTTCGTCAATTTTTCTAAAATTTTCACGGAAAATGAAAATTTTCCATTTTCTAAAATTACAAATAAGTTTGAAATTTTTGGAAAAACCGATAATCATTGATTTCCACATTTTTCTGATTCCAAATTTTTTCTAAAATATAAACACACACTCACTCCCACCCCACTCACTTCTGTCTACCCTCACCTTAGCACCCTCAACCCACCACATCCTTACCTACCCACACCCACCCACTCCCAAGCTCACCCCCACCCCCACAAACACACACACACACACATACACAAACACACTCACACAATATCCACCCCCACAAAACACACCCACACCCCCCCCCCCACACACACACACACCTACCCACCCCGACAAACACACACACACACACATACAAACACACACGCACACACACACCCACCCACAAACACATACCCACACACGCACACACACCCACCTACCCACCCCCACAAACACACACACACACTCCCACAAACACACCCACACACACACACATCCACCCCCACAAACAAACACCCACACCCCTTACACACACATACACCTACCCACCCCCACAAACACACACACACATACAAACACACACGCACACACACACCCACCCACAAACACACACCCACACCCACACCCATACACGCACACACACACACACCTACCCACCCCACAAACACACACACCCACCTACCCACCTCCACATACACACCTACCCACCCCACAAACACATACACACACCTACCCACCTCCACAAACACACACACACACACACCTACCCACCCCACAAACACACTCACACACGTACACACCCACCTACCCACCTCCATAAACACCCCCCCCCCACCCCCCCCCCCACACACACACACACACAAACACACACACATGCACACCCATCCACAAACACACACACACGCACATACACACACACCCACACAACCAACATCACTACCACAATCACCGACCTACCATCACCACCACTACTCCATCACCACCATCACCGTCGTCGCCGCCGCCATCACCACCACTGCCACAATTGTCGCCGCCGCCACCACGACCGCCCCCGCCCCCACCCTCACCCTACCACCGCTACCATTTTCTAAAAGTGAAAACCGATAGAAAAAAATACACATCTAAACACGTTTTCTAATTTTCTAAATCTGAAAATGAAAAATGAATAAGTTTTAACTAAATGCGTTATTTAAATTTTCCAATGAAAACTAAAAACGAAAAACGAAAAACGAAAAATGAAAAATTGTTTTTCCGTAACTAAACGCAACCTAAGTTATGACCATTTCATTTGTTTCATATGTGTTTTTTTTTAAATCCTAAGTTGTTAAATATTTAAAATCCATTCGATTCTAAATCTCAGTAAATTTAGACGTTGACTTGACGTCTCGGTTTTTTTTACGTCTCGTTTATGACCTTTATCCTACCACCGATGTAGTGTGAGTGGCTCAAATTCGTTTGATCTTTCCCGATCATTCTTGCTGGAACTTGTGTGCCACATTTGTATGGAGTACATGCATAAAAGGTTTGGAATTTTTTAGACAAAATTATACGATTGGTCAATGTAAGACGTTACGCCATGGGTTAGTGGTTTCATTTCTTGCGTGGTTGGTTCTTATTGCATAAATGACTTTTCTACTATTTTTTATTCTTTTTACATTTTTTGTATATTGTTTATTTATCTTTTGTTTAAAAAATTTTAAAAAAATTCAAAAAGAACAACTTCATGAATACCCGTATAACATCCCAAAAATCTAGGTAAAATTTTCGTTTTTAAAAACCAACCAAAATCATAATTGTTTACAAAACATTGTTCTCAAAAGCAATAATCACAAATTAGAGTATCTCCAAAATCCAATAACATAAAACTAGAAGGATTTGCACGATCATGTCTTCGCTTTCCCACGATCATCTAAAGTACCTGAAACATGAAACTTAAACAGTAAGTCAACGCTTAGTGAGTTCCCCCAAAGTACCACACACAAACATAACAAATATCAGCATGCAGAAATGGGCCTTCAGCCTGACTGGACCGTCGCGTAGGACCTACAGTCTATCTGGACCACTCTCTGGGCCTTCGGCCTGATTGGACCGCCTCGCAAGACTACAGTCTATCCAGACCGCCCCGGGTATCTTGGCCTTCAGCATAAAGAAAGATCGCCTCAACCCAATAAACCATAACATGTCGACATATACAATAACAATCAATAACCAGCAAGTACATGTAATCATACAGATCTACCAATCTAACACATACCCAGTGAACACAGGTAATCATACAGATCTACCAGTCTATCAAATAACCAGCAAGTACATGTAATCATACAGATCTACCAATCTAACACATACCCAGTGAACACAGGTAATCATACAGATCTACAGAATGTGAGTTGAGTTTTCCTCATTGTACTTAAGGGTCAAAGGCACCAATGCCAGCCAACAGATCACAACTCTGATTGTTGACTCTACAGGTCCCCTCTAAATGAAGCTTGAGGGCAAGATGCTTCTGGATCCAAAGAGCACTTGAGCTTCTAAGGTGAATCAACTTCCTTCTTCCTCCTTCAAGAACACCAACGACACACTCTAAGGCTCGAAATGCTCATAAGGATGGATTAGGGTTTGCAAGATACGAAATGGGGCTAGAGATTGATGAAGGAAGGAGTCTTGGTGAGTTAATGATGCTTAAATAGGGCTCAAACCCTAAAAATTAGGGTTTTACCACTGACCACGTACGCCCAACATGCCCAACGTACGTATCAAATGTGTTTTTTCACTTAAGGCTCCTTGGGACCAATTTTGCAAACAATTCCATATTAAGGGTCAAAATTATAAATTACATGAATCGATATGTCACAACCTGTCTGGTTTTGTACTTCATGAAAGCACACACATTTAAGAACATCTTCATTCACGCACACATACTAGTGAACATCTTTATGAATGTACAGACTCAAGAACATTGACCACTCTTTATCACCATCGTCGGTCACCACCACCACCATCCGCCACTGCCACCACCACTCCTTCGGTAATCCACACACACACACAAACACACACTTAGAAATCAAATTTAGTTTCAGAAACAATTTTAGATTTGAACACCGTCGTCAACCACCACCACCTTTTGTTCCCACTAAAAATGATTTTTCCAGAACGACTTCAAATTTTAGATCTATAAAAACCATTCAAAACGATTTCAAATGTGTGTCCAGATATGTGCTATGTTTTTTCAAGAAAACCTTTCAAACTCTTCAAACTCAAAACCCTTCTGGAACACACACACACACACACACAACACATAGTCAAACAACACATACCTTGTACTTTTGATTTTAGGGTTCTATAATCAATTTGAAACTCAAACACACACACACAACATTGGATTTATGGGTCCTCAAACTAAAAGCTTTTTAGTACACGTTCGCTCATAGTCGTCAGAATCTAACCAAAACTATAGCAACATCCATTATCGGATATGGCAGCTTTGGGGTTTAAATGGTATTGAGCATAATGGTTTTTGGGGGATTTCGATCTGGTGCTGAAACAGACTAGACGATGATGATATAGGATGATGGAGATGGTGAGGGTTTTCACTAGGAGATGAAGACAGTAAGTAATGGAAGAAAAGCACATGCACACCTTTTTTTAGAGAGAAAGAGAGAGAAAGAGAGAAAGAGAGAGAGAGAGAGAGAGAGAGAGAGAGAGAGAGAGATAAAAAAGAAAGTGTTCTTTTATTTTACTTTTAAATCAACATAAAATTAAACACCATATAAAAATTATAAAACAAAATAAAAAATGGAAAAAAAATTCTTTTTACATGGAAAAAGAACCATTTAGGCAATTTTTGGAAACAACGGGACCAACCATGGAAGAGATGAAACCACAGGGACCCGCCACATAACGTATTTGATAGTTGTATTGAATCATAATGTTTTGGAAAACAACAAGGACCAATTATGTGATATTTTATGTTTTTATTGTTTGAATCTCAAGTACCAGACCTTAGCGTGGGAATGCGTGGGAATTTGTCAAACAGTTCGGGCAAATCTTAAAGAAAGCTAAAAAATGTTGTTTTGATGAGCCTACATAGAAATGGGTAATTGGTCGGGTAAACTATGACCAATCCAATGATGCTTAGTTGTTATTTTAGAATGATAAGCCACACTATGACTGAGATACTGATAAGGCTCTCGTGGGGGGCAACTGTAGGGAAACTTGGACAATGTGAGAAAGTTCGATCGAGTAATATCGCATGAGTGAAAAATAGAAAAGCTATCAGGCTTACTGTTATACTAGTTTCAAGAAATAGCTAGTGTAACATCCAAAATCTAGATGTTTAGAAAGTGAAAAAGAAATGGAAATAATTTAGAAAATGACAATAATGGTAATAAAGGGCAAAATGGTCAAAGAGGGTAAAATGGTTGTTTTACATAACCAACAAGGGATATAACAGAAAATATGTCACCATTTTACAAGTTATATGAGTTTTATATGCTTATAGTCTAAATGGATTAAGTTCAAGGCAAAAATGGAAAATAATATGCAATTGTAATTCCACATAAATGTGATAAAATGCCAATTTTGAGACCATAAAAACTAGACTTAGAGGAAAGGTAAGGAAAAAGGGTACAAAGGTAACTTGTGGTGGATTTGAAAATGAAGCAATATAAAAAACAATCAGTTTAAAAGGATTTCATACGAAGAATATACAAGGTTGCAAAGTTGCACAAAAAGTTAATAAATGCTTATTTGGAAATTTGACAGTTGTAAAGTGCCAACTTTGAATCTTAATAATTCGTTATCTATAGCTAATTAGGAAGAACATTATTATGAAAATTTGTAGTTCATAATACAAAGAGTACACAAGAAAAAGAATCAGAAAAACTGGGTGTGTAATGAATGAGATATGGTCGTTTGAAAATTGTTGATTAAACACTTGAAATGTTGTAATATTCTGACTAGCCATGTTCATGGCCGAATGACGCAAATTTTGGACATATTCATATGAAACAAGTAACATGGAACTTGTAGTACTGCTAACATAATTTCCAAAGATATACAGTTCGCCCATTGTAACACTCGGTTTCGAATCGCTTCATTATTCGGGGTTGTGGCCGATCATCAGTTATCATAAGGCTTAGGGCCTTGGGGAAGAAAGGATTTGGCCCTTTTTAGATGTGTGTATTATAGATTAGATGATCCAAGAGTTCGATGGTGTTGTATAGCCCAAGGGTATATTCGTAATTTAGATGATCCGGGTATTCGGTTTGTGTTTTGGAGCATAGGGGCATTTTGGTAAAGTTTGAGCTCGGCCCTTTTATGGAAATTGGATTTTTGTTCGGGGAATCTTAAAGCTAGTATGAGTTGATAAAAGTGTGGAGCATCTCGTAACCTCTTCGTGGATATAAGGATCGTCGGAATCGGGCTTATAACGAAGGAGTTATGGCCTTCGGAAGATTCTAAGGTTGAAGGCAAAACCCTAGTACGCTGGGCATATGTAGGGAGTACACGGGGCGTACTGGTGCGAAGGCATGTACGTTGGGCATACCTCGGTGTACGTTAGGCGTACGAAGGCGAAGGATCGAGATCTCGAGAGGTGTACGCTAAGCGTACTAGGAGTACGCGGGGCGTACTCCGGATTCATGAAAACCCTATTTTAGGGCTTTGGACCCTATTTAAGCTCATTTTATCTTCACCAAACCTTAATACCTTCAGCCTCCACCCAGTTCTAACCCTAGAATCAAACCCTAAGTGTAATTTGGTGATTTTGAGCTTGGTATGTGCTTGATGGATGTCTTGAGAATGAGAAGAAGAAGAGAATCATTTGGAGTTGTGGCCTGAGCTTCTAGATCCAGAAGTATCCTTCCATTTGCAAGCTTCCAAATGTAAAAAGATTTGACCTTGATGATCTTTGTGTTTGGATATATTTTATGGTATTCTTTGGCATTGTTAAGTCCTTTGATGAAAAGGTGAGCTTTTGATCTACTCCAGAAGTAGTGGAGGTTAGATCTAAGCTAGACCAAGGTCCCTTGTTCATAAAAATGGAAACTTTATAAATGGTTTTGGTTCATTTATCTATTAAGCCTTTATTTAGTTACTTCTTCAAGTGTTGAGTCCCATTAATTCATGTTTGTGAGTAAAGTTGGAAACTTTACTTGTTAAGACCTTGGTTAGGGACCAAATCTATGTGTTGGACATCTTGACTTAACCCATTAAGAGCAAAGTATGGGTTTTTGGACTCCTGACTAGTACGTTGGGCGTACAAGGAAGTACGCAGAGCGTAATGCGAGGTTTATGCATCAGGTTGTTGTATGTTACGCTTTGAGGTCGAGTACGCGGGGCGTACATCTTTAGTAAGTTGGGCGTACTCCCCTGAAGGGCGTTTTGTGCTTTTGAGGTTTGGGCCATTGTTGGGTTTTTATAGTTTGGGCCTTGTTGGGCCATTAGATTCATTTTGGGCTTCGTATTAGGCTTCCTTTTTGGGATTGGGTGTTTGAGTTCTTAATGGGCCATCTGAGTATAAGTGTCATCCTCAAACATATATCCCTGACTGGAGCCACGACCGCCTTGAGGCTGAGAGCATCGGCCACCACATTGGCCTTCCCCGGATGGTAAAGGATCTCACAATCATAATCATTCACCACATCCAACCACCGGCGCTGCCTCATATTCAAATTTGGCTAATCCATCAGATACCCCAGGCTCTTGTGATCCGTGTAAATAGTACAGCGGACCCCATAGAGGTAATGTCGCAAAATCGTGAGGGCGAAAACCACAGCCCCCAAATCCAAATCATGTGTTGGATAGTTTGCCTCATGAGGCTTCAGCTGCCTCGAAGCATAAGCAATCACACGACCCATCTGCATCAAAACTGCCCTCAAACCCGTGATCAACGCATCACAATAAACCACAAAATCCTCAACACCCTCTGGCAGGGTCAAAATCAGCGCCTCACATAATCTCTACCTCTAGGTCTCAAAAGTTGCCTACTGCTCAAGCCCCTAGTGAAATGTAAATCGTCTTCTTTGTCAACCGAGTCAAAGGAACAACTATCTTGGAGAAATCTTGGATGAATCTCCGATAGTAACCTGCTAAACCAAGGAAACTCCGAGTCTCAGATGGAGACCTCAGAACCTCCCACCGTATCATGGCCTCGACCTTGTCTGGATCGACCAGAATAGCATTTTGGTTCATAAGGTGCCCCAGAAACTGAACCTTGCATAACTGGAACCCACACTTAGAGAACTTTGTGAAAAGTCTCTCCCTCCTCAAAGTCTCCAGCACCTCCCTCAAGTGCTCCTCGTGCTGCTCCTGGGTCTTGGAATAGACTAAGATATCATCAACGAATACAATCACAGACCGACCCAACATCGGCCTGCATACGCGGTTCATGAGATCCATGAATACGGCTGGAGCATTGCTGAGCTCGAAGGGCATCACCACGAACTCGTAATGACCATAACGAGTCCGAAAGGCCGTCTTCTGCACATCCTCATCTCTAACCCTCATCTGATGATAACCCGAACACAAATCAATCTTGGAAAACCAAGATGCACCCTGAATCTGGTCAAACATATCATCAATCCTCAGGAGTGCATAATGGTTCTTCACCGTTACCTTATTCAGCTCCCGATAGTCAATGCACATACAATGAGACCCATCCTTCTTCTTCACAAAAAAGATCGATGCTCCCCATGGCGAAATGCTCGATCGAATGAATCCCTTGTCTAGTATCTCCTGCAGCTGTGTAGACAACTCTTGCATCTCAGGAGGAGGCAACCGATACAGTGCTTTGGCTACCGAAGCCGCACCTGGAACCAGATCAATCCTAAATTCAACCTGCCTCTCCAGAGGCACCCCAAGAAAATCCTCTAGAAACACATCCAGATACTCCCACACAATAGGCACATCATCCATAGTCGCCTTACCTTATCCTGGGGATCCATAACATAGGCGACAAATCTGGAACAACCCTGCTGAACATAGTGTCTAGCCCTCGCTG